GCCCGATATATCGGCCGACCGATATATCGGTCGACCTCTAATTGGAACACACAATCTTATGGTGGTGACATCTGACGGTGTTGACACATTTGGCATTTCTTTCACAAAACCAATGGAGTTCATGAAGTAGCTATTTTATTTTTTTCTGTTACTGCTAGATGCTAATGGAACCTGCTTCAGGAGAATAAAATTATCTAAATATTTCAAATTCCTCAGAAATTGGAAGATGGTGTTGACATATCATGGCTGTGACACAGGAAATATTAACATTAGGATTTAAAATATTCTAAAACTAAAACTTAGCAGAGCCTGTCTGACACTGATGTACTCTGCAGAGGAGGAATGTGGCGAGGGGGTCTTTTAGAGTGACAGCAGCCCCTGATATTCCCTGATTTTATTACATTTTATTGAGTGTCTGACGGTGTTGACAGAAAGTGGGGACGCAACTTTAAAATCTTATGAAACATGCATGTGTCATTAAAAAACAACCTTGCTTTGATAGGAGATATTAAGTGTTGCTTTTGATAAAACAAGCTCTTTTTCATCATTAATTTTTTTTTTTTATCCATTTTATTGCATATGAATGATTGAACCCTTCTCTGTGGACACTGTTTTAGACGTAGTGAGAGGACATTAAGAAACACAGATTTGAAAATTAAATTGAAGGTGATAATTGTGTTAAATACATTCTATTATTAATCCCTCATGACATTTAAAATTTAAAATATATATATTTTTAAAGCTAATAGCAGTTACCCTTGCTGGACCTGTTTTGTCCTACATCTCAAGAATGACACATTTATAAAAATTAAATTTTTTAAAATTAAATTTATATCATGTAATTCATATGTTAAGCAGAAGAGCTGAAGGATGATATGCACATATGCAGAGGAAGGAAATGCTTTGCTGGATGGAGATTGTGGATCCGTAAAGCTTGTGTACATGGGTCTGTTTGAAGAAGAACCACTGTGTGTGTTACAGAGTGTTTAAATGCGTCATCGGCATGACATTTGTGCTTTCATTCTGACAGGTTATGACAAGTTATGTTGAGCGTCACAACAAAACAGACCTTCATTCAAGGGTAACTTCTGTGTGTGTGCACATGATAAGAATAATTAATGCTCACATACACATAAAGTCGAGTCGAATCCCTCATCAGAAACTGAAACTCTTTGTTTTCATGCTTGCATGCCGCTGACCTTCATGCCACGTGTGTGTGTGTGTAAATAAACCAGAGCGTGTTGGTCTGTCTCTGTGTTTTGGCACCAGCGTGACCCTGTTAACTCCTTACAGCTCAGTGTGGATGGTGTAAACCCAGCGTTTGAAGTCAGACTCTGTTTTAGCAGAGGTTTGTGTAAGAGAACTCTAGAAATGCCACTTTCATCCGCTGACAATACTGAGGCCTTTGACCTCTATGTGACTCTCTGACTCTGTTCCAATAACTAGTGAGCTACCTGGTGAGCTAGGCACCATTATAAGGGATCATACGTGTGATAGTTGATCCATAACATATAGAGAAGGCAATCCCAGAATGCACTGTGATGGAAAAATCTATCCAAGATGGCGAACGAACTGATTTTTCAAAGTTGTAAATTAAACAAAGATTATTGGAGTATATTATAAAAGAAAATACCATTTCAGTCTTTTTACTTAACAGTTTCACCCTGTAATTCAATATGTTACTTGCTGATTCTTTGTACTTGGGTCAAGGACAAAAAGCACCAAAACAAAATTTTTATTTTACAAAAAATAATGACT